ACCGCCAGATCTCTTTGATCAAGCTGTAAGGGTGCAGAGATTGAGGTAGCAGGCAACGGAGGCCGGCCTGGCTGGTCTGCAGCACCCGCTGGTGCTCCAGGGCCGCCACTTCGGCGGCATACTCAGCCAAGAAGGCACGGAAGCCCTCATCCGGGAAGGCCTGGCTCAGGCACTCTGCCCATCAGCTTGAGGTCCTCCAAGACTGAGCAGGCCGCCATGATGAAGCCGTCTCCCCTCCACTCAAGGCTGGGCTTGCCCAAGAGGTGGGTGTGTCACGCATGAGCATGAGGGGGCATGTCACACTCATACACATGCGCACAAGCTCGAAATACCCACCAGCAAGTGCAACACGCCCCCCCCAGTGGGCGAGCAGGCAGTGATCCCTGTCCGCGGCCCAGTCCAAGGCAGCCCACGTATCGGCACCGGGCCGCGGACCAGGGGTTGGGGACCCCTGTACTGTACTAAATGAACCTAGGGTATTCTTTTCAAATGCACCTGTTGAAATGAATTTTATAAATTTATGTCCTACTGTTCATCTTCTTAGATTTCCTGGATACTGTTTCCTGGAAAAGCCAGAATCCTGCTAGGCATTTAAACTGACCTAAGTGTAATTGTGTAAACTCAGTGATAAATTGGAACTAATTAATGTGTTGTTAGTCATGCTCAACTGTCGCTCAATTGGGTGTGTGACCAGGTATATGAGCAGTAGTTGATGGAACTGCCCACCACAATTTACACAATTATACTTTCATTGGCACAAATCCCCAGCAGGATCCTGGCCAAAATATAGTTAGGGCTGATGACACTCTGTGTGTTATCTCTCAGAAATAAATGGTACACACTGTACTTTTTAATTTTATTTTTGGCAATGTTTTTGTCGTGACTATTCCTTCCTGTTGCTGAAGTTCTGCCTTTGAGTCTCACCACCTTTTGGGAACCTGAGGTTGTGCCTTTTATTCAAGTAGAAGATGTACAGTGGCAGTTATAGAGTGAAAATGTGGTTTTATACTCTCCTAGTAGGGTTAGCTGTTGGTGATCCTCAAATAAGTTCCTTGGGGAAAATTTTAAACAACAAATATTTTTCTTGGGAGGTATTTTGAGCAGCAAAATCTATTCTCCCCTTGTTTATTAAATCAAGTACTTCCATCAGAGAAGGAGTCTGGCATGTGATAACAAACTTTCTCCACTCCACCCTTCCCAAGAAATCAAGATTGCTTGGTAGTAATTCCTTTTTCTTCCGCATCATCATTCCCCAACCTGAAACTCTCCAGACCTGTTGGACTTCAATTTCCATCACTTCTAATGGCATAGCTACTGGCTGAGGTTGATGGGAGTTGTAGCCAAATACATCTGGATGGCATCACGTTGGGAAGATGGCTTTACATTTCTTTTTTTAATGGTACTATTTTCTCAGATAATACAAATTATGCTTATGAGTCTGTAATTCTCTTAATGGCTCTATTTTTTTCTGAGCATTTCTTCATATTTTCAGTGAAAAATTGACTAGGAAGGTGCTCCAAAGACTAGGAAGGTGCTAAGTAGCTACCACAGTGGTTTTGGAATGGGGAGATTGCTCGTGGGTGTGGGGGAACTCATGGATTGAAATCCTGTTGCATAGCTTAGTAAGTTGCAAGTAGAGAGGGCTCATTGAATGAATAGAACTTACAGATGAGTTGAGTCACCAAATCCCCTGATTCAATGGTCTTGCTCTAGTTGTGATTTACTAGACTAAGCAGTAGGATTTCAACATGTATATTCCAAGGCTTATAGTATGTTCTTGTGGAAAACATGGCTACAGAATGTGAAGGCAGAAAGTGGTGGCTTACCTCTGCATTCAGAGTCCTGTACCTTTTTGTAATCAGTAATTTCGAATAAAGCCTGAAGGCTTAACAGTGTCATATTAACACTTGCTGTTCTTGTCATGATTAACATTTTGGGTTAAAAAGACGATGTTACTGAGCCATTAATTTTGCACAGTAAACATGACTGGCTCTTGTTGATGATACCTTTAAATCTTTATCATTCAGACACCAGTGTTGGTGTGTATCATTGGCACTAAGCGCTCATTTTAAGAAGGAATTTTAAGGAGATGCTGGATTTTGTGGCTGACTTTATGTTACATTTTCTCTTCCCCTCCCTCCCAATCCCTTATATACATTAATAAGCAAGCTAGAATCTAGGTTTGCTGAATGATACAGAAATTCAGGGTTATGCTAATCTCAATTCATGCCATGAGTAAGCTTTTGTTTTTCCAGGTGGGTAACCATGTTGATGTAGTAACTGCCAAGTGGGTAGCCCAAGATGCTGGGATTGGAGCAGGCGTAGACTCCTATTTTGAATATCTTGTTAAAGGAGCCATCCTGTTGCAGGATGAAGAGCTGATGGCCATGTTTCTAGGTGAGAGGTTCATGTGTTTCACTAGATCTGTACCTAAGAATCTATCTTCAGTGTAATGTCAGTGCAGCATATCTGAATATAAAACACAAAATCCACTCATGGGTCTACAAGAGTGTGTGTGTATTATTTATTTATTTATTGGACTTATATACCGCCCCATAGCGCTACAAGCACTCTCCGGGCGCTTTACAATTTAATTATACAGGCTACACATTGCCCCCCCCCCCAGCAAGCTGGGTACTCATTTTACCGACCTCGGAAGGATAGAAGGCTGAGTCAACCTTGAGCCGGCTACCTGGGATTTGAACCCCAGGTCGTGAGCACAGTTTTTTTTTAGCTGCAGTACAGCGTTTTAACCACTGCGCCACGAGGCTCTGTTACTTAGTTAGAGCAATTTGATACCACTCTCATTGCTTTATCCTGTGGAATCCTGGGAATTGTAGTTTGGCAAGGTACTTTGATCTCTCTGTTACAAAGCAACTGTGCTGTAGTTCAGGGGATACACTACAGCTCTCTAGCAGAGACACCTTGAATAACATCTGCCTTATACATTTCTGTGTTGCAAGCAGATGTTTTAGGTTTTTTTTAAATCTTCATGTTGTCATGCCCTCAACATGTTCAAGTATAGCATGAAATTCTGATGATGTTATTTCCCAAAGTTTAAGCCTTGGAATATGAGAATATAAAACCCTGTTTGCTCAGAAATTTACATTTCTCTTCTGATACGCACCATTGGTTTCAACTTGCTCTTCTCTTTGCAGACTATAACAAAGCTCTTAAGAACTATACAAAATTTGATGATTGGTACCTGTGGGTCCAAATGTACAAAGGGACTGTTTCAATGCCAGTTTTTCAGTCTCTTGAGGCTTACTGGCCTGGCTTGCAGGTAAGGGCTGCTATTGGATAAGTATATAATTTCTTTTTAATTCCATTAACAGAGTAAAAAAGATCAGGAAACATACTGTGTGGGCATCATCCAACATAATGAATAGAACACGGATTCCATCTTCATCTTATGTTGGATAACACTGTATTTCAGGAACAAAGAACTCAAATACAAATAGGGGCAGGATTGGCCTCATCCTTAAAGACTAAGGTCAGGTGACTCTGGTGCTCTGCTCTGAAATGTCCATCCTCTGACATCCTCCAGTACGACCTTTCCTCCAGCATTCATTCCTCCTTCATATAGAGAGAACCATGGCAGATGCTCCCGTTACCTCCAGATCAGAGTTAACAACAGGATTCCCCTATTTGCTACTTGCCTTCCCATCTGGAAAGTACATGGAGAAATCCACGTTATCTAGGGGCAGGGAATTCCCTCAGAACTTCTGAAGTCCGGAGGTTGCCACCCCCGACCGTGTATAATTACAAGCTGTATTCCCAGTGTTCAAGCAAATGCCTGCATTGAGGAAATAGGGTGTTGTGATTTCGTGCCAGGAAAAATAGTAGCAACAGCATATCATGGAAGTAGATATTCCCACTAAGGATCTGGCAGAGGTATTCCTGGCTAGAAATAAATTCTTAAAGAGTGCAAGTATTGAAACTGATCCCTAAGTATCTGTGTTTGATTTTATTTTTACTCATGAAATGGAGTGGCAGCTGCTGAAGCGTCCTAGTGCCCTTTAAATCCTCATTCTTCTGAAGTTTCCGGCCCTGTGCCACCTTTTAATAGATCATATTATTTGTGGCTTCTTGTTCTACTTTCTCTTTAGGAGAGAGCATTTGACTTTGTCTGGCATGGTTAGTTCTTACTTTTATTGATTGTTTTTTCCTCCAGAGCCTTATTGGAGATATAGATAGTGCAATGCGAACTTTTCTCAATTATTACACTGTTTGGAAGCAGTTTGGTGGGCTCCCTGAGTTTTACAATATTCCTCAAGGTTATACTGTGGAAAAACGTGAAGGATACCCACTTAGACCTGGTAAGTATGAACTAAGCATATTTATAGCCTCTTTCCTATTTCCTACTGTATGTTGAATGAAAACTAAGGATGGCTTCCTTCTGGATGTTGCTGCACAACACAGTATGTCTTGGTTGTGTCATAAATGGCTCATGACCATAACAGACATACTCCCACATAAGGGTGAACTGTGTTCTTTGTCCACATATCATCCCTATATAGTACAAGTCAGATGTTCAGATGTATTTCAGCTTTAGGTGGTTCTGGAAATCCTTGCTGTGTAGCAAAAAAAGTGAAGAAGTCCTAAATAACTAAACCATTTAACTGATTTTAAAATAAATATTGTTCTTTGACGTTACCTAAAGCAGCAATTTCGTCTCGTTCAGGCTTTGAGGAATTCTAAATGTGATAAATGATGTTAGTGCAGATGAAAGGAAAAACTGGTGCTCAGATTTCCGCTGTATTCACTGTAAATGTGAAAGTGCATTATGTGGATTGAATTCCTGGCTGTGCAATAAAGTAGCAAAGTAAGTGTGCTTTCTTTTTAATTTTGCAGAACTGATAGAGAGTGCCATGTATCTCTATCGAGCTACACGAGATCCCATCCTTTTGGAGCTGGGCAGAGATGTTGTAGAGGCAATTGAAAAAATCAGCAAGGTGGAGTGTGGGTTTGCAACAGTTAAGTGCTTTTCTTGAATTTCTCTTTTTTTATTTTTTTTTCAATGCAATGTCAAAACAAGCCTCCCTCAGGCTTGTTTTGACATCAGCAAAAGTTAGCTCAGCACCAGGGCTGGCCCAAAGCCTTTTGCTGTCTCAGGCAAAGAACGAGACAGCATCTCATCCTTCATTCCACATCAGAAGCTAATGAGACTGTCTGTGTAATCTTGTTTTATAACATCTGCATGTAGCAAGCTAGTGGAAGGATTAGAATTGGCTCTGTCTCCCAATAGAGGCCATAAGGCAAGAGGAACAGGCAGATTTGCTACTCTTGTTCCCAGCATCTGCCACCTGAGGTAGCTGCCACCTTTTGCCTCACGATGGAGCCAAACCTATCCGACAGAATGTATCTCTTCACTTATGTTGTCTCTCTCTTATTACACAGAGACAATATTGAGACTGCATGAGATTTTCTAATTCCTACAGCAAAACTGAACCAGAATCAATCTCCTGATTCTTGCCCTAAAGCAGAATTTAGAAAAGTTACTTTTGGAGGACTACAATAAATTTGAAAATAGCCGTGGATAATGCCATGCTGGCTGGGGAACTCTGGTATTCCAAAAAAGTAACTTTTCCAAGTTTTGCTCTGGTACTACCCTATTCAGCAGCCAATAAATAGCTACTAAAAGAAATGCATGTTGAGTTCGGACCAAACGTTTTTGTTAGATTACACACCACATCTTGGCAGTCAGATTACCATCATCGTTCTTATTGCTACACACAAGTTATTTTTTGCACTGTGCATTATTCTTGCATTGCCATTGCCAAAGAGTGCGGAAAATAATGGCCAGTTCTGGTTTTGTGTCTTTAAAAAATATGTAACCAGACAAAACCAATCTTTCTTTAGGTTAATAAGGAAATGATGTAAATGCTCCAAAATTCCTGTCAAAATACCTCTAAAAGTACCTTAAAATGTCCTTTAAAATAACTTCTGAAAGTAACTAGATGACAATGTTCTTTAGGTTAATAAGGAAAGGATGTAAATGCTCCAAAATTCCTGTCAGAATACCTAAAAATACCTTAAAATGCCATTTAAAATAACTTCTGAAAGTGACTAGATGCCAGCAAGCAACTTAAGTATCATTCATTACACCTGAAAGTAACTAGTTGTAACTATTAGATAACTCATTATCTCCAAAAATAGCACACTACAGGACATTGCTACTTGTAACCATTTGTTTCCAAAATCCAGTTCAGATATACAGTGTGACAACTGTTTTCCTCCCCCTTTTTTTAAAGATCAAAGACCTGAGAGATCACAGACTAGATAATCGCATGGAGTCTTTTTTCCTGGCTGAAACAGTGAAATATCTGTACCTGCTCTTCGATCCTGACAACTTCATTCATAACAATGGGTCATCCTTTGATGTTGTGCTGACACCCTATGGAGAATGTATTCTTGGTGCTGGTGGATACGTTTTCAACACTGAGGCCCATCCTATTGACCCTGCTGCTTTGCACTGTTGTAGGAAGCAAAAGGAAGAACAGTGGGAAGTAGAAGATCTAATGAAGGAGTTCTACTCTCTGAAAAGGAACAAGAAGTTCACTTTCACAAGAACTTCAGATAACCAATGGGATGGGGACAGGCATAAAGATTCTTCAGATGCTTCCTCTGAAGACTGGAAGGGGCAAAAAGGCTCCAAACAGAAAGGAAAAATTAGAGCCCCACTATTGAGCTGTCCCAGTCAACCTTTCAAATCAAAACTGGCTGTGCTGGGACAAGTCTTCGTTGACAGTACATGATCCCTTTGCTATGAGTTGTTAAAATCAATAAATGTGTATTTTATTTATACCTTTCTGTTCTTGGTGATATATGCAAAGTTATGCTAATTCTAAGGTCATGCGTGGGTGACAGGTACATTAAAGCAAGCATAGATGATGGAAGACCCATAGCTGAATGGGTTTACATTAGAGGTGAGCACGAACCACTGGTTCAGCAGTTTGGCCAACAGCTGCACAGCTCATCTGTGATTTGGCACCCCACCCCCTACGATGGCCACGCACCCAGAGGAGGCAGGGAAGGGAGGGTGGGGTGCTGCTTCTGAATGGGTGGCCGCCATAGGGGGGATCCCTGTAACTATCACAGCAATTATCACTAGTTATTAATTTATGAAGGGCTGGTTAGCATTGGCATCGTGGTAATGTTGAGGCCAGCTAATACAAGTAATTGACCTGTTAAGATGCTAATGTGATTGTTTCTGCATACCAGAGAGCGACTGTTCTACCTGAAGGAAAAAGTGGCCTGCTTGTTGGGAAAATCAGTATGCTATACACAGGACAGTAGTAAAACATAAACATTTGCATAATTGAGCGAATCACATCATGTACAGGAAAACTGAACAGACTCCCATTACTTTCTGAGTGTTACTGTTTCTAATGTAAGCTTTGAGATCATTTATTCTTTTGTGGAGGAACTGGCTTTGACCTCAGGGTTGCCATCTCTGAACAAAATAACCTCAAAAACAAAATTGCAAAGGGAAATATCTGAACAGAAATATATCAACTGTGCTCACCTATGTTTCTTGGTATTTTTGAAAGCTTTCATGGCCTGGATCTGATGGTTCTTGTGGGTTTTTCAAGCTCTTTGGCCGTGTACTGAAGGTTGTTCTACCTAACGTTTCGCCAGTGTCTGTGGCCAGCATCTTCAGAGGACAGGAGTCAGAACTCTGTGCTCTGGTGCAGTTCGTTTGGATAGTTGAGTATTTATAGTTGTGGGATCAGCTTTTGTCCTTTTCAGGACACAGCAGACCAGCTAATGACATCCATCAATCACAGTGACAGATAATCTCTCCCTCTTATCATAACAATACACCCACAACAACAAAAAATGCTGATCACCACAATCACCCATCTTCTGAAAAGGACAAAAGCTGACCCCACAGCTATAAATACTCAACTATCCAAATAAACTGCACCAGAGCACAGACAAGAGTTCTGACTCTCTGAAGATGCTGGCCACAGAGACTGGTGAAACATTAGGAAGAAGAACCTTCAGAACATGGCCAAAGAGCCCGAAAACCCCACAACAACTATGTTTCTTGGCTTAGTATATATTATATGTATATTAATCTGCTAATCCATTAAGTTCTGTACATATTCGTGTTCTTCTGTTTACAGCACAACAAAGAAGAAATTTGGTAGCAAAAAATCCTGCTACATCTCTTGTCACAAAATCAACAACTGTTGTGGCACTATTTGTTTTATGGCAAATATTTGGGCTATTCTTTCTGCTTGTAATTTTCGCTTTGCTGTTTCCTCTGGTTTTTCTAATTATGTTCCAGCTCCTCCACCACTAATTTGCTTATCTGTCCTTGTATGTACAGTAGGAAACCACCTCCACCCAACTGTGTGGGAACGGTATCCATTGAGTCACTTTATCTGCTGCCTGAAAATTCTAAATAAAACCCCTGTGAAATACACATTTATGCGTATTTCCAGGGTATATTTACCAAAACCAACCACTAGAGGGAGCCAAAGACAATGCAGTAGATCACATGCTTATTCAATGCTTTTTCGGGTTTGTTTGCTTTTTGCATTTGCTGGTGGGGCTTAGAACTGACCCCCTGGAGATACTACAGTCCTACTGTATATGTAATCTGCCAATGATCTTTGAACAGTTCTTAACAACTCCCCAACATTTTTGGTAATTAATTAATTAATTAATTTTGCCATTTGCAGTAAAACAACCATTTTTTTGAAGAAAAATATTGCAGGTGAAAATGCAAGGGTGGGTGTAGCTATCCAAAGTCCAGGGACGAGCACGTGTGGCCAACTATGGAGGTTGCCCAGTTGTGATCTACCTGTATAAAACATTTCTAGTGATTAAACCAGCACAGCATGGAGATCAATTATCTTATATTGTCATTCAATTAATCTCGGTTAACTTGGCTTTTCTGGCTAATTTTTTTCTTAAAGTTGCTAAAACAGGAAAATCTTAACTTTCTTTGTCCCTTCTCTCTCTCTCTCTCTCTGCTTCCTTTCCATTATTTTATTTTATTTTATTTTATTTTCATTTCTTTTGTCTGTTCCTCAAAAATAGAATGACAAGACAGGGGCATGTCTTCATATTTTTTTTCCATTTTCTTTTCCTAGATCTGCAGATGAGAGATCGGTGGAATAGAAACTCCACGCTGGCAGTTCAGGGAGGGTGTTTTCATTCTTGGGAGACAGTTTCTGGAAGAAGCAGAAAGAAGCTGTTATGGTAGAGTATAATTACATAGAAGGGAGTTGTGTTTATTTTTAATTCCCAGCATTGCAGCCTTCCAGGATCTTATTGAAAGACTAACACCAACACAAAAGGATCAGTTAAGGCTACATTAATAGTAGGCTGAACTCTCATGATAGACCTCTAAGTAAAAATATATTCTGTAGCATTCTGAGACTGATTTGTTCAACAGAATTTGAGGCAGATGGATAAATTCTGTGTCTCTAGAAAGCTGTTTGCAGGAGTCCAGGACCTCCTTCATGTCCCCTCCTTCAAGGCTGCCAGAAAATGTCTGTAAGCTATAGCAGTCACAAGACAGTGGTTGCTGTGCTTATAACAGCCAGCTTTTTAGACCACTAAGTCTTGGAAGTCCAAATGCTGAAGATTCCAGGAATACATTTTCAATAGAAATCTTAATTGTTCCAGCAATGTTTGTAATTTCAGAGATTTGTAACTTAATAATTGGCATGTTGCCATTCTACTTATAAGACTTTGATATAGCTAGCAAATTTTGCAGAATTTATATTATCCTCCTGTAGCACTAAAGATTTGAAAACGTTGATTCCTAGAAAAGTCAGTTACTGCAGTACAAAAGCATTGGAACTACAAAGTGCCAACTATCATACATACGCACACCATCTCTGTATTTACAAGCTGTAACCAAAACATCATTCAGCTGCCAGAATTGTTTATACAGCAATTCATTGACCTTGCTCAACCGGAGCTGGCTAATTGTTTTGGCACATTTAAAAATGTTCTGCATTGACTATAATAAATAATTCCCAAGTTCAATTTTAAACATACTTTTCAGGGCAACTTTTTCTGCATGCCTTTAACTGTATTTCAACATCTTGTGTATACAAACTTTCAAATCTTGGCTGTAGGCTGGCTGGATAACTCAGTGTTTGCAGCACAAGACTGGGAGCTTGATTCCCTGCTATGCCTCTCAGGAGATCAGCCAACCTATGTAGCTGTGAACAAGCTGCACAGTCTTCAAGCTGCCCCCAAAAGGAGGGAAGAGCAAACCACTTCTATGAACCTAGAAACCTCTAAGAAGGGTGACCAGAAATTAATATCACAGTAAGCTTACAGTTTTGCCTCTAGGCATGTGAGAAGCAGCAGCAGCAACCTTGCCCTCTGGGTAGCTGCTGTACAGATTGGTTGAAGGAAGTGGGCAAGGACATAGTACAAACTGACAGTGGGTTGGTCAATCATCAAAACTTTGTGTCCCAGTGCCACCAGGAGCCGGGAATATATCCTGTGCACACAAACTCAGGGATATATAATTTTTGCCAGGGTTCTTTTTCCCAGTCCAAGCGTAGCTTCCACCATGAACTTTAATGAAGCATTTGTAGACCCCATCCATTCCATCAAATTTATGAAGTGTTATCCTGCAGTTGGTCAACTTTGCTAACTTAAGGTTAACACACTTAAAGAATCTGATGACCCATGTACTGTAAATCAGTAAAAGTTATGCCGTAATAAAACTGTTAACTGTAAGGTACCACACCACAAGACTGCTGTTTTAATTTTTCTGCTATTGCAACCTCCTATTCATATTTATATAAGTCTCGCTGTATTAAAAAGTCTGCTCCTGAGCATGCTTTTACTCTCAGGTAAAAGTACAGTGGGGTCTTGACTTAAGAACAGCTTGAGTTAAGAACATTTTGACTTAAGAACCACTCTCATAGGAAAATATTGACTTGACTTACGTACTTAGATTTGTGTTAAGAACTGAAAAAAACCCACGAGGGAGGCAGGGAAAGTGCAAAATGTGAACTTTCAGTTAACTGTTGGCCAGTGAAAGGGGTGCCTATCTGCTTCCTCTCTCCTCCCAGCGTTTAGAGAGTGGATTGGGAGACAGGCTTCAGACTGCCTGGTACTGTACTGCCTGGACTGTATTTTCCCTGCCTTCCCTGAACCTTTCTTGACCTAAGAAAAAAAGAAACAAAATATCCCCCTCTAGTGGTCGAAGGCAGAATAGCAACTTCCCTTTAGTTTCTATGGACGGAAAAGAGCAGATACGGATCAAATGGTTCTCAATGCATTCCTATGGGAAATGCAGATTTGACCTGAGAACTTTTTGACTTGAGAACCGCCTTCCAATACGGATTAAGTTCTCAAGTCAAGACCCCACTGTAAACGGGATTGTAGCCTAAACTGCAGAAGACTCGCTTTTTACTCCGAATTTCAGCACATCAGAGGCAACATGGGAATAACAGAAATAACATGATTTCACTTTATTTATAGAATCATCGTGAGGGTTTTTGAGATGATGGATGTCCACTTCACAATGGCTTCTGAAGTGTTCTATACCAGCTAAAAACAATGAATGGCAATATTTCATACCATGCTATCTTTTAATTTCCAATTTGGGGAGGGGCTTGATGAGTTTAAATTGATCATTATGATTACGATTTTCCTGCCAAGAAAGGCACCTAAACGAAACAAAGCTAGGGAATCTGACGAAGCAAAGCACAAAATCCAGCAAGGGCCAGCTTTGATTGCCGACTTCCGTCTCGCTGTTCTTCAGCCCAAGCTTAGGCTTAAGGCTTCTTGTTTCAGCGGCCAGTCTCAACGACTACATTTCCCATCAGGCCGTGGGGAGCCAGGCCTTTCCCACGTGCTTCCTTCGGAACCAATGAAGAGGAAAGGTGGCCGCGACGTGCTCTTCCTGGTGGCGCTGCGGCCCCTTTGGGGAGGCGTTCCGTACAAAGACCCGAGAGGAGGGGCGCTTCCTGTTTGTCTCTCGCCAGGGCCAGGAGCGACTATGGCGGCGGCCGGAGGAGCAGCGGCGGCGGCGGAAGCTGCCTCCCTCCCGACGGCGGCGGGGGCAGCAGGCCCTGTTCCAGACGGGCCCGGGCGGTGC